AAAAAAAAATTTATAAGCAAAGTATTTTTATGATTTATAGTACTAATTCAAATCATTGTTAATTTTCATCATCTGAAAAAAAAAATTCACTTAAAAATACAACTTAAATGAATAGAAGAAATTTAACTCAAGCCTAGTTTTTTGTATGAGTGAACATCGAATTCTAGAAAATGCACTTCAAAATCACCAACTCTTTCTACTTTATGCAGGTGGTTGCATGCAAGTTGACAAACGCAGAAAAGTAGCCTGTATATTTTAATATTTATCAAACTAGTTTGCTTGTTAACTCGAGAAAAACATACAAGAAAACACCAGTTAACTGAAAAATGAACAATTCGTCAGTGGTTATGATTTATTTTTCTATTGATATTAAAGTAAACAATAACTTTTTTGTAAGTCAGTGGTAAATAAAAATGGAAACCTAGTTATTTTAATTAAAGATGAATAATTTAACGATTCACAATTGACTATGTGTAACAACCGAATGAATAAATTGTTTTCTTTTTTCTGTTTTCTAATTCAGTGTAGATAACTTTGGCTAACTGTCAGCTTTATATCATGAGTTCACATGACAGTATGGGTCAACTCACAAGGGTATTTGATGTAAATCAGAGGGAATCATTTGTTATACAATTAGTAATATGCATTTTTTTTTCAGATATGTTATGCGAGTACAATAATATATATATATATATATATATATATATATATATATATATATATATATGGCTTGAAGAACTTACGTTTATGATGAGATGTCCAATAATCGCGGTTGCCGATTCCACTAATTTATTAAGTATCATATAAAACAGCAATTTTCTTTAACAAAGTAAATTTATGTTATTGATGTGAAGTTGACATTGAAATAACCTTTCAAAGTTCAATTATGACTATTCTAAACAAACTTTGTATTCATATGAAAAGAAACATGCCTAAGTTTCTTACAGATTTCAGCTTTTTCGAAAAAAACTCATTTCTTACCTAAACTAGAACTTGGTAAATGAAGAACTATAAATTGAAATTTCGGGATTATTTTTTTTGTTTAGCAAAATGAGATGTAATTAATAATCTTTGTGAAAGCGATTTATTTATTTTCGCAGGTTAAAGAACTTCTGAAATATTTCAAACTGTGAAAATCATTCCAGCTTTGTCTTGATGCATGTTGATCAATATTTAATCTGTTTGTTGTCAAACAAGTCGAATAAACAGGAGCAGGTTTCCACCAATTAGCATATACCAGATTCATTCAGAAACAAGAGAAAATGATTTATACTACTTATTCGATTCCGATAGTAATTAACCTATCTTGTGTATTATTTTAGTTTTTCTCTGAAAAGTAAACGACAATGTGTAGTGAATTATTGATATCTTTTTGAATTAGTTGAATTATTTTCTAGTCACCGTTACTCATAAATTATTGAGACAAATAAATCAACATAGAGTTTTTTTACTATTGCGTGACTTTATATTCCTAAGCAACTAATGTTAAGTAATGTAACATATCAGCAGTAAAATTCAGCGGTTTAAATGACATACTGTATTATTGAAGTCTAAAATTCATCAAAACATGATTAATAATAATAACAGAATATCATATTTCAGGAATATATGTGTGTCTATTTCATTTTTAAAACCTAGTCAAAATCTTCTCGTTGTGCATATTCAACGATGCAATTGATCATTCTCTTTTGGCTACTTCGCAATACTGATCACATCATATGAATAATAGTTAAATAATGTGAATCACTTCTTTACCTAAATGACTTTCAAAGTCTATCTCACTCGGTTTCTTACCGTTATATGATAGTGCTTAACGTGTTTAACAGTTTAGATATCTTCTGTTTCGTGTTTCCATAAATTTCAATAACGGCATTTACTAAAAACACACAGATTATCTATCAATAAACGCTTTTATTTCGTGAAATAAAAAGTTACTTTTTCGACTTTTGTTTACAGAAATTTGAGGATAATATCTTTTGAATATTGCTTATTGACTTGACCTGATTCGTTTGCTCACTTATTTACAAGTAACTTTGAAAGCTTTTAGTTCAAAATAATTTTTTCTTCACAAGGATTCATGAAAAATAGGCAGACATGTTTTTATCATTCAAATAGTCTGTTATTAGTAATGTTAAGATGAACGGTCAATATGCTGTTTTCATTCAATTAGTCTTCTTGATAAACTTTTGTAAGGCATGAAAGACAAACACTGTAGGATGTAGTGAGTTCACTTTATTTTATGTACTCTAAATTTTCTATGTACTGATTTATTTTAAAGAAATAAAAGGTTTCACAAATGTATTTTTGTGTGCAGCATAAATAAAACTGGTCGGTTTTGTAGTAAAAACAGTAGGTTCTCTCCTTACTCACATCAATTCATAGTTTAAACAAATAAACGATAGAAAGATTACGACTTGCTAAAGTACAAATAATGCAAGTAGATGGATGTAATTACGATAGACAGAATATCAAAGTTGATAGTAATCAACAAAATATGAATAGTAGTAGTAAAATTTACTTACATACTTACTTACTTACGCTTGTTACCCACCAATGGAGCATAGGCCGCCGACCAGTATTCTCCAACCTAATCTGTCCTCGGCCTTCCTTTCCCGTTCCGTCCAATTTCTGTTCATTCTCCTTACATCCATCTCTATTCCTCGGCGTAATATGTTTTTCCTCAATCCCTATGACCCTGAGAGTTCCAAGTGAGGGCTTGTGATGCAGTTGGGCGTTTCCTTTTAATGTGTGCCCTATCCAAAATTTAGGATAACAGTGATATCTATGGACAAAGATTGTCCGTGGAGAACGCATTTACTTGAGTGACAAGATTGGTAGAGGATCAAGTATGTTACTAGATAATGTAAACGTAACAATATGAGTGACGCTAATCGTTGATTGGAAATATAAATTTGACTAAAATGAGCTGTGATTAGGTTAAAGTGGGCTGGAAAAATAAAATATGTTTGTAAAGTTAATAAATCAGACAAATAAGACAAAATCTCAAAAAGATGATAAAATAAAATAAATCATAGTTGTAATTCGATCACTAAGGATTATTCAACTGAATCAAAAGTTTCTCTGATACGCATAAATTAACGCTGAAAAGATAAATAATCACTGTTTCTGAACAGCGTAGAACTATGTTGTCAGTAGATCTGCATATTGAATCTACAAACGGAGATTGGTTATTCAAGATGTACAAATACACGATAACTAGCCAGAAAAATCATTAAATATTTTAATTCGATAAGGATGACAAATTGTTTACATAGATAATCATCTGTTTTTAAGTACCGTCGTCGAGAGAAGGATACAACATAGTTTACAGAATTTTCCTAAACCTGAAAACAATCAATATCAGAATGAAAAATAACTAATAGACTTCAATTTCATAGTATTTTTATTCAACGTTATACTTAGTGTTCACATTTGTGGAATGTTTTTTAATCAACAAGAAGTGCTGGAATTTTAGTATCATTAATTAAAAGTTATTCATCAACACTGGAAGTCTCTTTATAATTCCTGTTAACTTCAATTTACTATTTCCTTTCAGTCATTAGTTACTATAATTTAACATCGATTATTACTTGACCATGGCACTACTAACAGATTACAAGTAGTTTACAATAATGACTAATCGAACTAGTTCCTATCTACATTGCTATAAATCGTGGACCTATCGAAAGTGTTTTTCTTTTTCTAATTTCACCTTATGCATTATACATCTGAAAGTAAATTAGTCTGTTCATCTCATGCGAAACAATCTTTTTCAATATTCCTTTGACACTTTTCTACTTGAATAGTAAATTAATAAATGTAAAAACGTGATATAATTTTCTGACACGCTTCAACTATTCAGCAGAGAGCATAATTTCAGTACGTGACAAACTATTTAATTTTATTTGTCAACGATAACAAAAATCGTATGCTCGCATGAAAACGGTGACATTATCTTTTGAGTATATCTAAATAAAGATTTTAACTATATTAATCAAAACAGATTAAGATGAAATAGGGAGAGAATTTTGTTGCATAAATTGTTTGACATGATATATATATATATATATATATATATATATATATATATATATATATATATATATATATATATGAACGTAGAATGTTACTAAATAAACAACCAGAAAATGATAGAAACAAATGTTTTTGTCAAGCATTTAATAGATTTCTTGTTAAATGTAACACTGTTATGCGAAATCAATCTGTTACACATTCTGATTACTACTTATGTAACTGGGATTGTTGCATAACATAGATGACACTAATATTAAAATATCTGTTTCTTAAAAATATTGTCACAGCATTCACTTAATCATCTGATATACACATTGAAACAGATCTTTTGCAGACCGACTTAAATGTTAAGATGTTAAGACAATAAGACTGTGAATTTTTAGTAGGAAGACAAAATAGAAGCACAGCATTATCAGTTTTAGGGAGCTGATGTTAACATTGACTCTGGCTGAACATTGAAGAAAATTATCTTACACCATGCATATATTTCAAATCATGTCAGCAAAAGAATATATTTAACATCAGTTTGTACAAGAATATGGATCTTGCTTTAATACTCAATAATACCGTGGAGTTGTACCAATCATTTGTATTACTTCTGTTAGGTTTTGATGAAGATGTCAAACTTTTAATGGACTTGACATTTTTTCTACGGAATCCATATGAAGGTCAAAGAATAGTCTGAGTAATGTAGATGAAAAAATATACTAGTTACTGTTTGGATGTCTAAAAAGGAGAATCGTAAGTTAAATAGATCATTTATTGAAAGAATTAATTATTTCATTCCACAAACGTATTCACTAGTTAAAGTGTAAACATTTTACGTAGATAACAAAATATTTTAGACATTTTCGATCATTTTATTGTCATTCAGTCTTCATAATAATGATCATCAGTCAATGTATTATCAATGACAAATTTTTTAATGAATTTGTTTTGAACTTTTATTATTTATCTAAATATAGAAGCTTGCGTTCCTCATTCTATTCCTCATGATATTATTTGTTCAAATAATTGCATATGGATGGCGATCTGTTCAACGGGTGTAAATCTTAATTTTATAACAATCATCATTTGTTATATGCTATTCATTTTATGCGGAAAACAGTTAAACAACAGTTTATATATCAAAGAAAAACGACACTTGTTGGAATTTATCGACAGCAAACAGCTAGTCCGACATGTCAGTAATTACAGTCAGAACAAATCTCTTCAACTCAAACTAAACATGCCTAATGATAGAAAACGTTACGTAAAGACATTTAAAAATTACTCAAATATGAGAAATAAAGATTCGTTCGGAACTCAATATGAAGATTATTCATCCGAAAATTATCGTTTAGACCAAAAGCTATCAAAGAAACAAGAAATTCGTCATCAGTCTAGTCCATATTTCAGTATACACAAATCTAATATTTCTTTGATGAATCCATCTCACAAAACAAAATCCGTTCTAAATATGCTTCCGAATCTTTTATCATCATCTACACGTTTTCATTCTACAACATCAAAGCCATCATCTTCGTCATTGTCCCATGCAAGCACTGAAAGCGAACCGTATTTTGACCCGAATCAATCTGTGTATATAACTACAATTAGAAATTCTACAGCTCTGATCCCTTGCAAAGTAAAAGATATTGATTTCTCCTCGACAGTTGTAAGTTCATATTCTTGATAAATATTGATTCTAATTTTCACAAATGATTATACTACTGGTATATACTACTGATTCACGATCACACATACTGATTAGATAAACTTTTATGGTTTTGATGTCAGTATCTAATATCAGTAGTATCCTTATATATTGTGAAGATAAATTACAACATTATTTTTATCTGGACAATCAGTCATTTTTAAAAATGTAATGTGAACAAAATCATATAAACTAAATATTGGGATTTTTATCCGGTAACTAAATGACTAGGGAACAAACAAATTTATAGCAATTTTAAAATATAAAAAAATGCCATTTTAACAGTAGTTATTGTAATCCCCTAATTTAAATGACAGTCATATTTAGAGTTGTACTGTATAAAAAGTACATTTGTGTCCCCTAATCTTATGACAGCCAAATAAGTATGAGTTTCTAATTTGTTGAGAAATAGAGAAAATATCTGCGTAGTTTATGGTTTTCAAGAAAACGTTGCACTGTTCATCATGAATGGCATTTGTTATTGACAAAACTTGAAACTTTGGAATCGGACAAATAATAGTAGCACATGAATGTAACAACGAGACTTTATCATTATTTAGTTGGTTGATAACATTAGTCAAAATTTTAAGGGAAATGAAAATGTAATTCCATGAATCATATCACAAGTCATAGTACTGAGAAAGAAATCTCCATTTCATACAAATTGTTTCAGAAAAAATTTGAATAAGTTTCAAAGTGTTGCACGAAACAAAAAAAAGTCTAATTTTAGATATGTCAAGGAAATTATTTCTCTTCGCTTAAACAACACAATGACTCTAACAAACAGGAAGTATGATAATGAATATGAGATGACCTGATTTCATAAGGTGACTAGTGCATACACATCGTAATATCACATAATTATATCTCAACATATATATACATGTATATATGAAATTATAGGAATAATCATTATACATGCAGATATAAATGTGTAAAGGATCGTTTATATACATTAAACCGTGAAGTAGCATAAGTAGCACTTACTGATAATAACACTCAAATTAAATTATGTTTAATGATAAAACTACATACTTCTTTTAATAAAAGAGAGGAGTAGGAACTAAGCGAAGGAAAATTATGTTCTTGTATTAATTAACAGAGAAAGCCATATTTATCATCTGCGCTGTTTTCTTATCTTGATTTCCTTAAGGTCACATAGGGTCATTTCATGAATAGGTAAATATTATAACGTCTCCGCGAGTCGAAGTATACCTAATTATTCAAATGATTTTATACATGGCATAACACTAGTTACTCATGAAGAATAATTACAGTAAACGCATTTTTACTGTTGTATACCTGATGATCCATGAAAATCATAAAGGTGGCTTCTAAAAATTGCCACATTTGAAAGAAGTAGCTACAAATGTATGTATGTATGAATGTGTATAAATGTATATATAGACGTAAATATTTAATTCAAGCTGTATGATACAAATTAAAGTGAGAATATTTTTTAATAGGTAGCGAAATAATATTTCAGTGATACGTTATCAAATAACATTGAGATGTTCCAAAGAAAACAACTTTTTCAAAACGGAAAATCTTTAAATACAATTCTGAATTCTAATCAATATTCCCGAAATCGTCTACTGAATAAAATCGAAATATGTTCTGTTTAGTCGAAGTTTATGGCTAAGCACCAGTTCGAATTGATGTCAATCAGTGAAACCGTGTTCCGTTTAACTGAATAATCCATAAAAGTTGTTAAATTTGGATAGATATGTCATACAAGAACCTATTATATAAAAGAATACAAGTTATAAGTAATCAGATTCTATATTTCAGTTTCAGTCAATTGTTAATTAATCCTTCTGGACTATACATGAAATTAATATCACATATAATTAATAGACCTTTTATTAAAACTTATATTAATAGATTCTTTAAAATGAATTCTTTTTCTTATAAAATCCTCATGTACATAAAATGTAATTATGTAAGACAAAGCAGATCCTGTTTTCTTTGTTCAGTACCAATTATGTCTTATCGACTAGTTGCATAAACAATAAAATATTGAAAAAAAAGATATTTTGGGATAAACGGCAAACAGGTTAAAACATTTTTTCTTTTACTGTTCGCGAACATTTCATGAAACAATCTAGAAAGTTATAAATATGAGCCAGACGTTTGCTGTAAAAGAGGATTAAGTTATCCAATTCAAAATTTAAAGTGATGTAGAAGTTTAGTGGATGAAATAAACCATAAATAAGAGCAGTGTTTGTGAATACATCCCAGTTATTATTGGTGAATGGATTAAACCTCTGATCTCATTATCACTTCAGCTTTACTATCTTATGAAATATTAGACCGGCTCTCTAAACTTAAATTTTCTTATTTTAAATAACTTGATATTCAGTCTATCACATTTACACTGAGTAAGAAAATGGGTTGATTAGGGAAATGTTTGAAACATTTCATTGATATGATAAATGATTTAGAGGTCAAAAAGTATCAATTCGAGTATATAGTTTGTTGCTGTTAACCGCAATTATTCAATGAATTAGCTCATTCTCTAATTAAAAGGATAATAAGTAGAACTTGGCAAATGAAAAATTTTCAAGCTGCAAAACAGACGGTTTAGATTCGGAAAACTATTGACAATGAAATTTTAATTAAAATAATTTTGTAAATGCATTTGTCAAAGGAATACTTCCGTTTTGATGATTAACGAATTGTTTATGAACATAAAATTCAAATTCAAAATGAATATCTTAACTCAGTTAAGTTTATCACACATACATACAGTGTGTTTGAAACAATACATTTGAGTACTGTACTTGTAAACAATGTCGAGACTAAAGTAAAAAGTCTGTTTTTTTTTAAGTAATTTGTTCTAAGGTAAACAATTATTTAAAAAATTTTCAAGTATTTAGTGTAATGCCATAAATGCAGTGAATTATTTAAAACGAAATTCTTGAATTATTCAAATCAAATTCTACAAGTTTTCTGGGTCAACTACAATTGACGTTCAAAAAGAAACATATTTAAATGGAATTTCCAGGTAATCATCATGAATAAGTAACCGCAAGAATCATATCATCAATTCACCTTGAAGTACAGTTCTAAACGGAAATGTTGAGACAGGAATTTAGATACTGTGCATAATGTCGGTCAATAAAAGGAATCTACATTTTATCAAAAAGTGTCTTTGATAATACTAAGTTATATTATCAAATTCGATTCTTCAAGTTTAATTCTTTAAACGGTTGAAGATTTAGCAAACTAAAACGTCAAAATATAAATGAGTTTTCTGCAGTTCAACATTAAGAAAGAATATTTCACAAGTAAACTATTCCTTTCAACAATTTTCAGTCTTGATAGCTAGAACGAGTTTAAATAATCAATAATATTTTTCAATTAACAAAAGACATCGTTGTTTTGTTGACGATGAGCCATAGATTATTCAGAGAATAAAATAGTCTTTCAAGAATAGTATTGACTGCAATTCAGGTACAGTGACTTAAGTAATATGTTTGTCAAGAAAAATGGTCTCTAATTCATAAATTATTTAGAGATTTCAGGTATTACAAGATCATTATGAACTGATCCAATGGTCATTGAAACAAAGGTAAAATAGAAACAATTCGTAAATCAAAAATATGATAGTTTTTCACTTTACAGCTTGGAAAATAAACAGAAAAGAAGAGTATGATAAAAAAAAATTGGATTATAATTAGAAATAATGAAAATGAATGCTGTTTTTCTCAAATAATCATCCAGAAGGGTCATCATAGTCATACAATTAAGATCGGTCTCTAGAACATTCATCTTGTTTCTTGTTTCGATAAGAATTATTTTAGAAACAGCTAGTTTTGAGACTTCCTCATGTTCACAGAAATAGACCAGTTAGGCTTGCTGATCACTTTATAGTAAAATTGATGATAAGATTAGTCGATTTATTAGTGCTGACTTAATAGAAATTTACATTTTTGCTAACTGCCTAGTTCGGAGGTCAGTCACAGTCAAAATAGATGCTAGATATTGGGTCATATTTGTATCAATTTTCAGAATGATTTTAGAATGAAACTGTATCAAATAAAGCTACTTATTTATGATACAATTGGTTTTCATCTTACAAAGAACAACACCCAACATCTTGCATCCGATTTTTATTAAATATTTCGTCTGGTGTTGAACAGTTAACATAATAAGAATGTTTTATCAGAATTTCAGCATAAGAGTCTCTTCACTATAAGATTGTGAATATTGTTGAATTTCATCGAAATCCGAGACTGAAAGTCATCGGTTCGTTTTCCGCTTATGGGATCATTGAAATGCATTGCTAAAAAGTCCCATACTCAGAAGAAATAGCCATAATTTCTTTGAACGTTTTTATTGGTGGTCTAACATAGAATTGTTCAATAAAAAGTATTGAGTTGCAGGTTAGCTGAAAGAAATCATGATTTTGTTCGAACTAATTTCCGAAATATCGATTCAAATAGTAAATTTTAAACACAATTCAAAAATGTGTAACAATTCATAATGTTGTAAACTGTAAGTGCCATGTTTTTAAATTATTTTTTATCGTTCATTCCCATTAACTTTTCAACAATATTTAATTAAAATGTTAATATTTCCATAGATGTCTTGGTGGAAAGAGGATTTACCAATGCCATTGACAGTAGGTAATGAAATATCACTTCCTCGTTATGAAATTGATCGTACGGATCCTGGGTCTTGGACATTGTTGATATTTCATGTCACTGAAGCTGATAGTGGAACATATATTTGTCAAATTAATCTAGCCAATATAAAAGAGAAATTTTTCTACCTCAAAGTTATTGGTATGTTATTATGTCCATCAAGTATTAGTTTCAAAATTAAAATTCACAATACATTTTAGCTTGTATTACGTCTAATATACATTGAAACTAAGGGAGTTTGTTTATAGTTTATGTATATACTGTCGTCACGAAATATACGGTTACAAGGTGCGTTATTTCGTTCAATTATTTTATACAATACGTGATAAGTACACAGTGATAATTCATGCATATGTTTTGATGCATTTTTATACATGCAGACCGAGATTAATATATAAAAATAAAGTACAAATATCTAACGTAGGTACATTTAATAAATGATCAAGAAAAGGCTTATGTTATTTCAAGTAAATGTAAATAAAGTCGTCCCAAGTTTTTCTTTAAAAATAAAATAACTAAATACTAATGATTCACAGTTTCAACAATAGGATAATTTGAGGTATATATTTTTTTAAAAAGGTCTAACGAATGCTGATAATGTGGTAATAAATTTATATGATAATAAATTTACATGTTACTCCTAGTAACACTGTTGAGGAAGTTAGATCTCCAGAATTCACTTGATAAAGGTCCTAATTTTGGATTTGATGCTTTCGCGCATAGGCTGATCGGCTGACCTTGAAATTACACTTCCCAACCCAGAAAATCCTTTGACTGTCATTAGTTGATGTGTTATTTTAGTATGCTACTTATGTGGCTCTCTCAAGGGTGTTTCTATGATGTACAAACAAACTCTATTTGTGTAATTGTGTACTTCATATTTTCTGGTCGCGTGTAGATTACACTTTCTAAGTCTTGTCAGGACTTCTTCCTCTCCTGGGTGGGGCCTTGGGACGCTCGGATTCGAGTAGCCTATCGTGTCACTGGATCATTTGCCTTAGCTCTCATTTCCCGACTAAGGTGAACTCGTAATAGTTTCAAACATATCAACTGACAAGCATATCAAACATGATAGAGGATTCATTCAGTTTTGAGCCTAACAGTAGCATCACTTAAATTCATAGTTATTTGACATTGGGACTATAATCAGTACCTTTGTGTTTTATACTGTGCCACCAGCACAGGGCACTGGCTGATGTGGTGTAAAAGGGATCAAAAAGCTTCCTTCTTTCTATAACTATTTAAAATATAATTAACATAATCAAGTACTGAAAAAAGCTGCTTCATTACATAAAATGGTTGTTAAATGAAACAGTGAAGTACTGTCACTAATTACCAGCAGTGTCCTCTGAAGTAGTGGCATGAAATTTTGAACAACTTTAGAACGAAATTATCTGTTGAGAATACTGTTGAACTTGCAAATATTACTTGTTTGTATGAACAATCTACAAGTTGAACTCTAAAATTTCGGTTTTCAATAATATATGTTGTCCTGATGAAATATAAATTCATAAATGAACAGTGCATTTGCGAGCTGGTTCAACATCAGAAGGGTGTATACTAATGCCTCAATTAATAATATCCTGTGTTATCATGAAATAAGGGAACAAGTTTAAATTTAAAATCACATCTAATAATTTTGTCACAAATTTCGTAACATATGCAAAGATCAATATTAACTTCTTATGCTATCATTTCCCTTACTACATATCGTTTTACTGTCCAACTAACCGTAAATAAGTAAGTTATACTTTATCGTTCTTAAAAATGAAATCAGAAAAACTAGTGAATTCTAAAAATTTAATTTATGCAAGAATTTATTCGATTTGACTACATATTTTTACTAATTGAAAATCACATTGAAAAAAGCAACTTCAAATTGGTTTGCAATCAGAAAATTATTAAACTTACCCGAGCTAACGTCTGCTGTCTATCCTTTTTTTAATTTATGCATCAATGCTCATCAAATTTGTTTCCGTCTACTTGTGAAATTTGAAAATCGAATTGGCCGCTTTTACTGTTTAAATGTGATTCCATAATTGAAAAAAATTAGCTCAGAAAAATGAACCAGATATGACAAAATTAAATGACGAATACGTCAGAGATGATATAGCGCAAAACACATTATGGAGAGCATCGAGTAACCAAAAAAGTAAGGTGATTTGTATTTTCGTCTGTTTTTTTATTTCATCACATGGTTGTATGTTAAATTATTGTTCAAACACCGAGTTATAACATGTTCATGCAGTATTTGGCGTGAAAATTGTGCTTGTTGAGAAATGCCAAAGATTAGTTTTCGAACATTTATTACAGGAGACTATAAAAAAATAATAGTTTCTCTAAGAATGCAAAGTAAATGATATTTCATGGCTTCGTTATTATTTTAATTATTTAAAACTTCAACCTTTATATGACTTTAAACATATAAAAATTAGTCAATCTTAACTGTTATGGCAAGTATGTTGTTTACTTTTCTTATTTCTCATATCGTTCAGAACTGAACTTTATTTAAAATGTTTTATAACAATACTACCATCATTAATTCAGGCCGTCCACAGTTGATGAGAAGTTTCAAAATATGATGAATTCATCTTATTCCGCAAATCTTATTCATCTTACTTTATTGACGTTTTCATTGCAACGTGTATAAGAAACTAAACTATTTAACGAATGTAAATAGTTATGCTATATGGATTCTTGACTGAGATTTACGATTCTTGCAACGTACTGAAAACCAACAATATAATATATTTTAACACTACATGTTTGCCTAATGAGGTAAGAATAACGAACGAAAATTTTGTTGTACATTTCTACTTCAAATTTAAAACGATTTCTAAGTATAAATAAGACATCTAGTCTTAAAATAATGGTTTTTGCTCATGCAAACATATTTTGATGATACTAATCGTCAAGCATGTACAAATTGATATTAATACAATTGGAAAACGATCTATTTCCTCAGCAGGAACCTTCAGTCTTTACAAAAATGAGCGGAAAAATTTCAAGCTGAGGAAAGTGCAAATTCAATACTTACCAAGCATATGTTTAATTTTGGCAGTCAGCAAGATATTATCCGTTAATTAAAACTATAATGTAGTTAAGTAATAAACGTATAGGTCATTAGACAACAATTATAAACGTTTTCATTATTATTAGTCAGAAGTAAGTATTTGCGTCACTTTAACGATAATAATTGACAGTAATTAAGTAGTAGTTCTAGTTTTTAAAAGAATAAAAACATTCAGAACACTTCAAGGGCTGTTGACAAGATGATATAAAGATCAGCGTTGAATTAAAACGCTATAGTTATAGCTTCATAGACGATTGCAAAAGTTGTCTAAACTTTTTAATAACATTTTTTATTCACAAAAATTAACATAATACTAAAGTGGAGTTAGTTATTATGCATGCAGTATGGTGTAAAGTGATTAGATTAGTTAAAATATATAGACTGAGACTCTTGTATTTGAGTGGCAATCATATAGAACTTTTATAATAAGTAGGTAGGTTTTTTAAAACAATATAAGCTGTAATTCAAACACAGCCTAACTTTCGGTACGAAATTACATTAAATGTTTATTTAATGGGAATAATACATTTACTATCATATTACAATTAGAAAATTATTTGATGAATGAGTGAGTAAATTTACAGTGAATTATGCTGAAATTTATATGAGAAAGATGATCTGTATCAATTTGTTCTGTTAAATGAATTCAATAATGATACGATAAATATAAAAAAGTTTTTTTGAAGAAACTAAAAATCTCTTTTACGAATAACTGAGACTACAGAGTTATTATAGTCAGAAGTAAAATCTATTAGTGGAGGTGGATAGCGATAGAATCCAGTATGAATGTTCCGTCCTATTTGGGACTCGTAACTTGAGTGTATATACATAAGCAAGTTGCTATCTGGATTCGACAGCTGAGTGAATATTGCATCGGTGTTTGAAGTGAACAGTACTGGGAGAGCGAATATATCAACTATGAAATGCACGTACATACAGCTGACGAGTTCTGAATAGGATGAAATGGGCGTGTTGGATTCCACTGTTAACCTCTTTCCATCTATGCTAATAATTCTTGTAGCATAAAGGCAAAATTAAGGCGATCCACACAGAATGCACATATGCCAAAGTGATTGATCAGTTACATTTCTAAATATCAATAAGGAAATTTAAAATCTAATAGAACTGAAGGAATATTACTCCTTGTAAAGTTGTTATAAGAGAGTAAACTAATAACCATTGTCTTCTTACGATCTATTTTGTAGTAAAACTTACAGATTCAAGTGTACCGGTCCTAAACAAGTCAGACTTATTTATAGTCCTATTATTTATAATCGATCTGACTGTTTTCTGGATTTAAGTGTTTCTGACACCGAATTTTATAAAATGAGAAATACTGGTTTAGCGAAGAGTTACCTTTTCCTCCAATCTTTTTTCAAAGTTGAGCAATCGCAAATATACACATATTTTTCAAGATGATGATAATAATAGTAATGATAAATTTAGCGGAATTTCGGTTAAACAACTTGAAACACTTGAAGAATTATCTTATTCAGCAATTGTATGCGAAGGTTAAGGATATTATTTTTATTTCAACAAATTGGAAAGCGTATTTTAGTTGGATTTTGCACGGTCTATTTCTTTCATTTTAGTCGAATTGTTGTTTTTGTTAATGATATTTAGGTGTTCATCTTTTTAATAATCCTGGTCAGAATCACTTTTTGACGTGTCTAGTTCAATTTCGTCATCCAAGTACAACATCATCTATTCAATGGTATTACAATGGAAATAGAATACATCCCACATTAGAAAGTAGGTTATTTATCAATACAAAATATTTTCATGTAGATAATCATTTGAAAATGAAACAATTATCTGTAGATATACAAACTAAATGGATTAATCAAACAACACAAATGAGTAAATTAAAAATTGGACAATTAACAAAAAACCATTCCGGTATATGGACTTGTCGCAAAGTTCCTGGGACTCATTTGGAATCATTGGAGGAGAGTTCATTGGATTTACAGACAGCAAGTGAGAAATCCTCTATAGTTTATTACGCTTATTTAATTTACGTGTTAAACTTGTTGAGAAAATGCAAACTGAAAGTATTATTCTGAAAATCACTTCTTTACTATTCAGATAGTCCTGGTGTCTTTCGTGACAAAAATTATCTACCCGAGGTACTGTTGAAAGCTGGAAATAATTGAACTGATCGTTCATCCTAATAAGGCACTTTACAGCAAAGCTAAACCTTATCTTTCACCACAGTGAATAATCATATATAATGATTTAGAGATAAATATTATGAACATCATGGTTGTTTTTATCAGAACCAAATTTCTGAACAGTATCGTCTTCTTTCAGGTACTTGTTTACATCAGTCAAACTGGGACTATAATTGACTTTCAAAATGCTCGAGGATTGATGTTGATGCAAGCTGTTACTTTTAAGAATTTAACAGTGAATACTAAAGCAAACTGAATACAAACAGTGATACGAATCAACTATATACGTCTAGTGAAAATATTTACAGCCGTAGATGAACACCAACAGGTTGCATCAAGTATATGTAGGCGAGATTTTTGTAAAGACTAATTTTCAGAACTACCATATCTAGCGTCATTATATATATATATATATATTCACTATATATATATTATTCACTAATATGATTAATTTTAACTATATTCACTTTTATTTCAAGATTTTAAAACCGATCGTACGGATCCGGATGATTCTTTCAATTATAATACTGGAAAATCTTCAGAGATACGATTATTACCTTTCGGTATTCTCTCATATTTCTTGTATTTTCACATTATATTTCTCATTTTGTGTTATTTCAGTGTATAATTCCTTACAAACGTGAATTATTGCCAGATTTGTTAGATTTCTAATTCATTGAATATAAAAAAAATTTAATTTTGATATGCGCTTAAACTAGATATCAACAAACATTATTTCATGCTTTTACACCCATGTCAGAAGAAACATTTTATCAGTGGTCTTTTTGTTCACTGAGAGAATGTTTTCGAACAACAGAATTATGAAATAAATCCATTGAACACTAGGTAAAAATTAAATTTGTAAATAAATATAAGTATATATATATATATGTATTATTTCAAAACATTTATTTGTTAATTTCTTCTTGTCTTAAGAATACAGTATTACCTAAATGGAATTATTTTCTACCACTATCATTTTGGTGACAGTTGAAATGCAAACAATATCTAACTTAATAATGGGATCACGTTTATGCTTCCCAATGTCTTTGGAATAATTCATTCTAATAGACTGACATTATCACAGTTTAGTAAGTTTTATGTTATAGATTCCTGTGAATTAGTCAACATAACTTTAAAGTAAACAGGTAAAATTATGAGACAATAATTCTCCCTTTAAAGACTGATTTAGCTGTGATAGTTAGCGATATCTGTCGAAAACACCACTATCATTAACACTGATGTTGCCCTACAAAGTGCTCAACGGAAGTTCTTACAGATAGAATCATTAGATTTGAATTACAAGGAATTTATTACTATGAAGCTGAATAGTCTATGTTTAATAGAAATTATTTTTGAAATATATTGATGGATACGGACTCAGATGACTTTTATTCAGTATTGTCGATGTTCCCATTGAGGTATAATGTAGTTTCGAATTCATGCTTCATTAGGAATATTTTCAAAACTAAAGCGAATGTATGCAATAGACGTTTTTATTCAGATACTTCAGTCTCTTACTAAAATGAAAATGTTCGTGAATATGAATTCATTAAAAAGAGCAGACTATGTAAATATTCGAGTGGATAAAGTGGCTGTGTTTGGAAAGCTTTCTTTAAGTATCACGTGAATAAATGAACAAAAAAAAGTGAATATCTCAAAGATGATAGTTTCGCACGTTCAGCATTAATGATAGCTTGCATTATATTATTTATTTATCGGATAAACAATGATAAATTTATTCACTAATTGGCATATTTGCATAAGAGATCAAATTTAAATACAGTCCACATAGTTTTAATCCTGTGCATAACTTTAGCGTCAGGCTATTGTTAGGTACGGCAAATATTCAACATTTATGTCCAAATAATTGACAATCGAAAAGACAATTGAACAAATATAGAGAAGCATTTTTATTCTTTCGACTACAATAAAACAAGTAAGGATTAGTAGGGAATGGCGTCGGCTATTTCATAACTATCAGTTAGTGACTAGAGTTTATTGTTCTCTATCATTTACTATCATGCTTCAAAATGAATTTGAATGAGCTATAAATATTCACTAAGGCTATGAATAATTGGCAGAATATTAAAATATCAACCCTTAAAAATAAGTAATATAATCATTTCCTGAAATATTTCATAGCTAATTTCAGTTAACGATGAGTGAAAAGTTTGGGTAAATGTTTTGTTATTTTCTTTGCTATTCACCGTAGACACAAATGAATACATATGACTAGATGTAACACTTGGACTTTATTTCAATTGAATGCTGACTTATCTGACATATTTCATCATTGAAATATATATATATATATTGTTATTACTTCTATACAAAATATTCATTACAATTCTCTAGTGAATTAAAGAAATTGCAGAAATTAAAAAGGCAGTCAAATAAACGTAACAAACCACAGTTTAAAAATATACCTACTAAAAAGTACACTGTGAAAATTGAAAGTACTCCTCGATTATTATGCCTTTTTAACAATTTTTCACTTGCTAAACAGCACAACCGACCAATCACCATTTACATAAAATCATAGAAAATAGGATGGGTTTTTCTAATAAACTTAATGCATTATTTGCCACTGTCGATACTAGTTGCATTCTCATAGTATGCTTAAGCAGAACAGATGAAGAGAGTGAAGGATAGAAAAGTTTCTAAAAATAATTGGGGACTTGTTTATCGATAAGTAAAATGATGAAATTTAATGAGACAGAAAGGCAAATGAGGAAGATGGAGGAGAATAAGTAGCAGAGTTAGTAATAGTAATGGCGACAGTGGAGGAAGGCGATAATGAAAATAACAAATGAATACTATTTTTTTTTAAATCAACAAGGAAAAGAGCTATTTTTTGTTCAAAGATTAGCAAGTGGAAAAATAAACTGTTTCAAGTTGCTTGATTGGTTAGTTTACTTACAATGAAGGAAAAGAAAGAGAACTAGTCATGCAAAGAGAAAAATTCACTAATCAACAATATATATATTATCAGTATACCTACTGATACAAGTATTGGTGGTATAGTGATCAAATAATTTGGCTTCTATCTATTGAATAGCATTGTCGAAACACATTTCCTCTACTTCGGCGGTGATAGTGTCATCCGCTGAAAGATGTATAACTCAAATTTGGAGCTTATAAACCTGTATTTGGTAAAGAATTACATTCTTTTTACTGCAAGCCTAAAATATAAAGAATCAACCGTAAGAATATGTTGGTTTATAGCTTCAACATCTCCTTCATCTTCATTTGTTGAACGCTAAGGACAATACACAGAGTACCTTCAAGTTATTTCATATTTATTGTTCATTCTTAGTCAGATCTTATTACTAGTAGGACACGAAACATGATTTTAGTTTGACTAAACGTATCTACATATATGCTAATTCGACCAGAACAATTTTAAGAAATGGTCGTCACAGTGATCATTTTCAGCCACAAGAATCGTATTTGCGTATGATCTAAAATTGAAGTAATTTACTAAATCTGACTCGCGTTTCATTTGAAGATTACCCCAATAATCAATTAAAGAAATATAAAACTGCAAGCAGTTCTATACAGTCAGATTCGTGACCCTGATCATCAGTTTAATCTAACTTCTCTCTTACGTTTTTCATATATTTTCTCATACCTAACTCATGAACAACGATGGACATACATTCGATCGGTACAACACTGCATATGGGTAGAACAGGGAACACTAGAGAATTTTTAGAACCTTAGCACGTAGGTCAATCAGTAATCAACAAACACGTAGACATTGCCCCAATTTATTAATCAATCAAAAAAATCATAGATAAGCATTGGATCAAGAAACAGATTAAAGCGGGATACAATGAAAGTAAAGATGCAAACGACAGCTTTAAGGTCAATAACAATCAATAAAAATTGAGGTCAACAGAACATGCCACAGGTCACACGGAAGAATTCTAATACTTCACTTCTATCTGAAGTTTGTGCTGATGATGTTTTTCAGAAGAACAATGAAAGCTCCACAGCCGAAACATCTAACTCAGAGAACAAAACCCCATCACAAATTTTCCCCACCATCTCATTGAGTTTAACCTATTTGATGAGTTATGTATTGGCTCATCGTGACTTTGGAAAATCTATATTTACAGGTTGCAAACTTCTATTCGTATTGATAATGTGAGTCTCGTTAGTAATTACTACGTTTCTGAATCAATACACTCTGCACTGACACTGAATTGCAAATTGGTTACAACAGTCTGAAAATACTAATGTATCTATCACACTGATAATAAATTAATTTCATTATCGAAGAAAGGTTGAGAAACATTAAAAACAAATAGTTTAAAATGAATTCGTGGTTATTTTTAGTGTATGAACTAGCAAAATTTTATTAAAATTCATTCGTGATTTCAATTTACTTGGTTAACTGATGTTAACCACTGCAAATGTGAAAATATTACTGATATTCTTCCATTTTATATCATTCTGTGGTTTTCGCTTTCAATCAAACAACATTTCTATGTTCGAGTTCTCTCAGTCGAACAGTTCATGAAAACTTATTTACGATGATATAAGTGAAGAGTTCACTAAAAATAAAAGAATGTTTAGTTGATTTTTTGAAACTTTTTTTCTAATGTACATTTGAATTGCGAAAATGTTTAATAAGCTAGTAAAATTGATAAATCTGCTGAATGAACGTAACATAATGTTTCCTACCTGCTTCTAATAGCTCTAGACTAATCTTATACTGCAACTTGAAGGCAAGAGAGAACACATGAAGTACAGGATGAACCGAATACTCCAAAGTGTGTTAAAATGTGTACAGAAAACAAGTGTATTTAAAGTTTTTCAAGTAGAGTGAAAATATCATTCAAATCATTAAATTTTCAATTTGCCATGTTACAGCATTGTTCAATCACCATATGTCACATCGAAAAGCTAGAATTTCTATTTAACTGTAACTGGTCGAAAGTGCTTGGGAGCTCCTGGTAGATTCTTGAAGCCATCTCGATAAAAATGAATTCCACGTTTGACTATTAATCTGAGGAACAGTCAGAACAACGAAGTTCTTACTCATTAGCAGCCACTGAAATAACGATGTATAGTTAGTGAATATGGTAACTATAAATCAAAGAACAAAACTTCGGATCATAAAATTTTTACATTTAAATTTGTAGATATTTTGAGTTATTCAGACTCATCAACAATCAAATCTACAGTATACATGGCTATCCCCTGACATTGCAGACGAAGAAGTGAGCTTGCCAGGCATGACACTTCCGAAGCGATAGAGTACACCAAACTGGAGGCGGAGTGGCTATATATATAAACAGCCACTTAAAAGCTGAGCGGCTATATGGCACCCAACTAACTGAGGTGATAGAATCATGTTGGTGTTGTTTCCACACAAATTACACAAAATACTTGATTGGAGGGATTTACCGACCTCCCTTGGGTACTAAGGTCCAGAAAAGCAAACTGATTGAGGTAATACTGCAACTGCCACTCCTGGGGTTTGATCAAATACTCTTAGCTGGAGATTTCAATATCCCATCTCTAAATCTCAGCAATCAGAGTATAACTCACACTGGTTGGTTCCAAAGACAACTTGGAACAGCCATTAGAAGCTCTGGGCTGACTGAGCACGTATGCAGTGCCACTAGATAGACTAAAGAGGGAAAGTCCAACCTGAATAATCTGTTAACAAATAACCAGCTCCTGGTTGAGGATGTTCCCGTGTACACACCAATAGGTAGTAGTGACCATGGCACAGT